GTAGTGGAGAAGCTAGGTGCTCTTCTTTAGCAGTATATATTTGTACTGGCTACCCAGGAATATTCAGAAGATTTCTTTATAATGTGCTGGCTCTCTTTTGCTTTCTTCTGACAGCTCTCATTACAAGATTAGGTGCAGTATGGGATCACCCGGAACAAATAAGAAAATCTCTCATTCAGCAAATTAATGTTATCAAATGAGTCATAGGCCTTGACTCAGAGAATAGAATGGCAGCAGGATATGGTACTCTAAGGAGTCCAGGCTCCAACTGGAAAAACTATCCAGGAGGTCAGGATTGGACAAAGGTTTAGATTTATGAGACTGACTGGTGTCTGAATCATATCTACGAAAATTAATTTAAACACAGACCAATCCCAGATCTATTAAATGGAAGCTCTTGGCTCTCAAATCTGGAACTGGATCCAGATTTAAGGAAGCCCTCTGCAAACTATTTTTTTCTGGCAAAGGGATGACAGCATGCCAAGCAGTAACAAGAAGCAAGGTCTGAATGCTGTTGTGATTCCGTGTAGTACTCCAGATTAACATAATGTAGAACTACTTGGAAAATTAAACTGGTGCTTAAAGTCATTTTAACCCCCACGTTTAGCAGCAGGTAGGCTCATGTCTGGAATTCTGGGGAAGAAAAATGTTTAAAAATTTAATTTAGGTTTCGGATTAAATAATCGTTAGGGTTTAAGATTAATTTTGGTTTTTAGGATTGGCACCAAATGTCTGTCTTGCTAGAACACTGGAACTCTAACTTTTATGCACATTTTGACCTATTGGGAGCTCTTCTTATTAGTACATACATACATTAGACATTAGAATTCTTCAGCTGTCAGTATCATTCCCATTGTTTTTAGAAATTATCAGAGTGATGGTAATGAGTACGTCTTGATACCAGAGCACATACATATCCATCTGGCTACAAAGTGCTAATGCAGTGCTATCCTTCAAAATCCTAAACACTGTATGTGTTGAGTCACGACTATTCTATAGTAATATATAAAATAATATTTAAAATATGTATGTGGACATTGGGGTGAACATTTGGGTGGTGTGAGCTTAAGCAATGATCTCTGTTTATGCAGTCTTACCTGGTCTTCCTTACAGATTGTAATATGTAACATATCTCATCATCCTCAAAATAACTGCACAGCATTATAGAAAATTAACTTAGATCTGTAAAGGCCTGTAGGGTGATGACAGCTCAAGAACTATAAAAAAGAATGAAATCAGAGAATGTGGAAAGCTCCCTTAAGGGAAAGAACTATTAGCTCAGTGGTAGAGCCCATATTTACATGCAGAAAGCACCAGGCACCAATCCCTGGCATCTCTAGGCGGAGAAAAAAAATCAGTCAGTAGGTGATATAAAATCCCTATGCCTAAATCCTAGAGTGCAATCACCAGTTTGACTAATTGAGAATACTGAATCAGGAGTGGGAAATCTGGGGGATGGGGGGCAGTGATGACACTTCTGTGGCCATGACATCCAAGGCATGTCCTCCAAAGTAATTTGTTGCTTGGAAACAGGTTTGCTGTATGAATGCAAATTCTAACTGAGGACAAATATTCCTGAAACTGGCACCAGGGTGAGGGGAGAGGCTATGCATGAACTACATCTTTCCTTTTGGTTGTAGCTATAAATAGTTCTGGGAAATATCACCACTGCTCTCTCAGATCATAGATAAGGCTATGATTCCCCTGCCCATCATTTGCTCTCCCATCTGGGAAGTCCCACAATATGCGTAGAATCACCTTCTATAAGGGCGCAAGACTTGAGGAGGAAAGGGCTTCTTAAGACCATTGGCATGTAAAATGGGAATCTCCACTGGCCAGTTTAGGCCCCAAACTCCAGAATTTCCCATCCTTTGGGCTAAATAGCATAAGACCTCTTCTTATGTTCTTGATGCCCCATTTTTGCTTGTAATGATGTCAGGCGTACTTTTATTTTTTGGTGAAGTTTGGTCCCGTGACGATCATGACCCTTCATGTTAATGGTGTCAACCTCAGCTCTTAGCAATCAGTCTAGCTGGGACTAAATGAACTTGGAACAGAAATATTTAGCTTACCTGTCAGACTGGATTAGTTTACTGCAATCCACAGTATGCAGAATGTTGTGTAAGCATTAACCACTTTATCCCATTCTACTATAACTTTTAGGCAGAGATAGAATGCTAGTTGAAGATGAAGAAGGACCCCCAATGATGGCATAGTAGTAAATTGTGAAACGAAGGCCCCCATCATGGCATCCCCCCCCTTTGTGGCAAGAACTGAAAAAATACAGAGGACTGCTGTGTTGTTCCATACAAATAAATCAATTCTTGCAGTTTTCATCACCACCAGGAGCAACACTTTTGTAAAAGCTAATGGATCTTAATTGCCAGGAAAAGACCAAAACATTCTGAAACACTTTGAGTAACAACAGGGATAGCTCATGGTAATATTTATTCTCCCTCTCCTCCCCCCCTCCGCACCCCACTTGTGAGGATTGTAGCTAATCTTAGAAGGAACAGGAAAGAAGATGCTGGCCGCAGAGACTGGAGAAACGTCAGGAAGAACAACCTTCAGAACACGGCCAAAGAGCCCGAAAAACCCAGAACAACCAACAGGAAAGTCAATTTGATAGCAGAAGATGATGCCACTGACCCTGATAATAAAAAAAGCCCAGTGTTGCTCTAGCCTTGCATTTTCTGGCTCCACAAGATATCTCTCTGTTCCTCATGGGATGAGGCCCCTGCTATCAGTCTGCCATATTCCAGACCAGCATGGAATGCCACAAGCACAAAGCAAGAACTGGGAATATGTATACAGACAATAATTCCAGCACATGAATTCATCTACATAGTACACATCAGGTAAAGGCTGTCTATTATTATTCAAAGAATTAAGCATTTGTAAAATGAGCCAGTTTAGAAAATATTGCCTATTTTTACACATTCTACTAGTTTTACACATTTCTAAATTTTTGAATTGCTTTCTGTTATCCTAATGCAAGGGTTAAATTCTGAGGTTCCAAGGTAATGCCTAGGTAAACACTCTCCATGTCCACTCCTACTTTAATGTGTTTAACTACCATACAAGATGTGTAAGTGCACTGTGTAAGGCTTGCCAAGAAGATGTGAGAGTTCTTGTTTCAGTTCTTTGCTTTTTTCATTGGCTGTTTCTATGACTGCCGAAACAGGACTTGGGATCCACTCACATGAACACGAACCTATACTTTGACCCAGTCTCTTTACAGATGATCTCTGGGTGCCCTTTCCCTTCCTTTCCTTCATTACTGACTGGTCTAAATACAAGACAGAAAATATCAGTGTCATGTACTACTTTTTCAAAAAATAAACCCAGAAGGGGCTGGCAGATTGTGCGGGAGAAACAGAAGGGGAAGTTTTCAGTTTGGGACACAAGCTGATAGAAGAGATAGCAGTTCCATCATCTACCCAGAGGCCAGGACAATTTTGAGCCTCATCAGTTAAGTTGTATATGTCTTTTAAAGTTGCTTAGTGTTGTAGCCAAGTGTCCTAAATAGGATTAGCAGAATATATTTCTGTGTATTATTTTCCCTCCATGTTCAAAGCCAAGATGCAAAATGGAAGACAGACCTAGACAGAGAAAGGTTGTCAGCCCAGCTATGTCATGACTCAACCATGAGTTAACAGAACAGGTCTAGGGATGGTACTGCTCACTTGCCCATGCATGTGAGGGAACAACCTGTCAATGCCCCCAGTCTTTTCTCAGCCTTTTCCTGATCTAAGCTACTTTTAACTTCCTTTTCTCCTTCCTCACCTGAAAATCATAGCGCTTGGTTTAGATTATCTGAGCCATAACAACAGGAGCCTACATTTATTTGCCCTAACTAAAGATCACACACTAGCTCAAGAAGAAGGGAAGTTTGATGACTAGGCTGAATTTCAGGTCTTTGAAAACAAGTTCAATAAGTAACTTCAGCAGCTTTGTAATTTAAATGGCCATCTTCCAGCAAATGCTACATTAACAAGAGCATTTGAATTAAGATTAAAATTTAAGGGCCAGGAAGAATGGTGAGAGATTCAAATTAGATAAGAGGAAATAGTTCTTCACATTGCAGTAGTTACTCTGTGGAATTTACTACCACAAGAAGTAGTGATTTCACCATAGATAGCTTTATAGAGCAATTAAACAATGAAGTCAGGGCTAAACTGGCCCTTCCCTCTTGTCCTTCCATCATCAGGCAAAAACCTTGCATTTCAGGCACACTTTTAAACAATGTGTCTAGGAAACACTCTATTTTCAAAATTCAGATATTTTAAAATGTTTTTCAAAATATTTTCAGAATTTATTTTAATGTTGACCAATGTTTAGTTGCTTGTTAATACTGTATATAGTTTTGTATACTGTATATAGTTTTGGCATTTTAAACTTGTTATTGTATAATTTTAATTATTACTGTTATACAATTTTAATTGTTGTGATCTGTCTTGGGTCTCCTATGGGGAGAAAGGCGGTGTACACACACCCATAAATACATACATAACACATACTAATAATGATGGTTGTATTCCTTCCAGTATGAGAAACAGCATGCCTCTGTATAACCAGATAATAGGGAGCATGACTGCTGAACAGCTAGGCAGTGCTTTATTTGCATCCTGTTTATGGCAGCATCTGGTTACGCTAGACTCAATAGACCTTGGTGATCCAACTTTTACTTTCTTATTCTTAATAAAATATATTTGATACTGGATAATATCTTTAATATTTTTGCTTCAGCAAACACAATTTAGGAAACGTGAACTAATATTTAATATTAACATACATCACCTAAATCATTTGGTTGATTTTGCTGCTAGCCATCAAGTTTCAGTACAGCAGCGTTAATATTATGCTGAGCATATAACAGTAACGGGCGGGAACTAAGATATCCCCATCAAGGAAAGAGATCAAACACTTTAAAATAAATTTTCAGTATTGACAAGTTGGCCTCTGCCTGGTTTTTAAAAATCAAATCTTTATACCAGTTTCTCTAGTTCTTGCTATTTACTGAACTGAACCAAATCAGAATGAAACAGAGACTGGCTTAATACAAGCCTCTACAAGTCACGGACCATGATAACGTACTGAGAGCTGCAGTTCTACAGAGAGCAAACTATCCAGGTGATTGTCACAGTCTTACTCAATGTCCAGTACACCTGCACCCTTTGGGAAAGTTACAGTACAGGGGAGACTCCCTACTGTCCCTCACCATCACTCCCATCCTATATTTGGCTCAGTCTTACTCTTGGTAGCTCTTGGCTCCTCTTTTCACATTCCATCTTCTGTACATATTTTTAGATTTCACATTTGCAGGTTCTCTTTGACAGTACCCATGCTTAGTCAAACCAGGAAACAGGAACAAGAATTACTAGATTGTGTGTAAAAACAGGTTAATTTTCCCAATTAGGAGCCAAGACCCAGTAATTAAAAAAAATAACCTAGGAATGACAGTCAGGATCTTTCTTAGACAAGTAGGAATATTGCCTATATTTGGGCCAACATTTGTATGTAGTTTCTGAAAACAAGTTTTAAGTTAAATTTTATTTCAAATTACATAGATCGTTTCCTTGGACGACTCCTTCCCTTTCTCTCTTTCCCTCTTTTCACCAACAGTTCAGCATATACATATATCCTCCACAAAGTCATACTCTGCTGCCTCATTGTAGAATGGAGATGACCTTGGGTCTTCAAAGGCTAAACTGGTAGAATGCAAGTCTAACAGACTGTGTGAACCTAGCAATGCTTTGAAAGTACTGTGTGTCTGGTAGTGGATTGCATTGCATACCTGCCATCTGAGAACCAGTCTAGCTGCCTACAGAGGTGGTGGATTAGCCTCAGCAACTGTGGTTAATGCTTGCCAGCTGCACTGGTGGAGTTGATGCGGTCACAGTTTTTCAAGGCATGTGTGTATGTGTATGTGAGAAAGATGCTGTGCAGACTCATGGTATATTCCAAACCTGTGTAAGATTGATCTGCCCTAGGAGGGTATGCCAGTGGTGCCTCAGCTTTATCCATCTCTTTTCAGAACAAACATTCATAGTCTGCAACTTGAACTGCTTTTCCAAGTTCTGGACTCTCTGGATAAAGAATCTGTTCTTCATCAATGTTTCTGCTACAATTGGTGCCATACTCCCATTTATTTATTTGTTTGTTTGTTTGTTTGTTTGTTTGTTTAGTTATTTAGTTATTTATTTAGTTAGTTAGTTAGTTAGTTAGTTAGTTAGTTAGTTAGTTAGTTAGTTAGTTAGTTAGTGGGACTCCTGGGCTGGTTGGGTTTCACAAGCAGGGAGCATGCGAGTCACAATGATTTCATCCTCTCTGCTTTCACTACCCAGAGGCAATTTTAGTGGTGTGACATGGCATGCGCATGTGCTATAAAAAACCTTGATAAAGGAAATAAGCTACTTCTGCTCTTGGCCATTATGCATAAGCAGAGTTTACAAATGTTACTTTTTTGTACTGCAACCCCCAGAATCCACCAACCAGCATGACCAGTCACTACACTGACTAGGGGATTGTCACAGTCATAGAACAAAAAAAAATGTAACATTTCCAAGCTCTGTGGATCATAGTAATCATAGAAATAATAGAATAGTGAAGTTGGAAGGGGCCTGTAAGGCCATGAAGTCCAACCCCCTCCTTGATGCAGGAATACAAATCAAAGGATATCTGCCAGGTAGTTGTCTGAGTTTCTCATGAATGCCTCCAGGGTTGGAGCACTCACCACCTCTCGAGGTAATTGGTTCCACAGTCTTAACGCTCTAACAGTTAAGAGGTTTTTCCGGATATTCAATCAAAATCTGGTTTCCTGTAACTGTCCATCGTTGTGTGTCCTACACTCTGGGATGATCGAGAACAGATCCTGCCCCTCCTCTGTATGGCAGCCTTTCAAGTATTGAAAAGTGTTAATATACAGTACAATGTTATCAGGCAACATAACTTCTCTCATCTGAATCTAAATTAAGATAACTTTCAAAGCTGCTTTTTGTCATGGGTTTCCTATCTTCAATCAGTCTTTGTAAGTAAACCTTCCTTCCTTTACACCAAACATTCTCAACCTCTTTTTCGCCATGGCTTTAAACACAATATGAAAGAAATATAGGGCAAATCAGAATTGTATAAGTCACATAATGAACCCTATAAGGTGATGTGTGGAGAACTGTTTCCAGTCTGTGTCCAGGGTCACCTAGAGATCATATGGCCCCCATTGAGAATGGCAGCTTTACATCATCTAGATATTTACATCATCTAGGCTAGGCCATTATATCATTTAGGCTGAATGGCATTTTCAAGAAGACGAGAGGCTGAATTCTTCTTGTAGTACGTAAAGTTTTAACCTTTTAATTTTAGACCAGTTCCGAGATTCATGGCCTTCTAACAAGTTTGTCTTCTGTTTGGTTCAAAGAAAGAGAAAATGTGCCTGTTCAGTATTCAAAACTAGGAAATTAGGCTGTCTGTCCCAGTGATTTAATTACCTAGCATATAAAATGAAGGACATATAAGAGCCACTGATTTTATATGTGTAAAGCTTGTGTCAGAACTTAATCTCTCTCTTATTGAAACCAAGAAGACTTGAGAAGTGCTTCATTTTGATTTAACTTTCATGTATTTTTCTTTGTTAGCTCCAGTCTCCCAGCCAGTGGTGGAGCACCTGACTGTGGAGTCAGGAGTCGGGAGAATGATTTCCCACAGTGCCTTGTAGGAGAAGAGCCAGCCTGTGTGGACTTGGGTAAATTACACAGTTCCAGAGTGGCCCAGAAGAAGGGAAGGTAAACCACTTCTCAGTACTCCAAATCTAGAAAACCCTGGAAAGAGTTGCCACAAGCTGGAATCAATTTGATAGTATGCACATCTCTTGTCTTGCTCTCATGCAGCAGATGGAAGAGTAGACTCCCTTGAAAATAAGGAAAGCTGTGCTGTTTCACATGCGAGGGGGCAATCCAAAGTCTTTAAAGAATTAAATTCAAAATGAAAAAAGAAAAGAAAGAAAAAAGATTCCCAGTAGACTAGAGAACATGGCATCTAGAACCTTGCTGATGGAAAGCATTTTTTTATGAAAAGAGAAAGAAAGAAAATAAAGGAGTGAGTGAATGAGTCATTGAGTGGTGCAGCACAGAAGCATTCAGCCTCTAAATATTTTAATGAAACTTATAGGTACAATCTGGTGTGAGAATGAAGATAGAATTTGGATGGCACATTAATAGAGATTTATGGACACTATACACTACGTTCTCGTGACTCATAGAATGACATTCTGCATAGTATATATAATCTCAATGGACATGCTACTTAGTAAGGAAAAATTTTACATTTCCTTATAACAAAATATTTTGTTTTGAATTCTGGGTATCTCTACAACACAAACAAAACCTTGTGGAAAGATTTTTCAGAACATTTGGCAAACAGCTGGGTAACTATTGAGCTTTCAAACAACATTTACACAGGCGGCTTGTGACAAGAAGGAGGAAATCTGAAATTCTGGGTCTCACTCATTTGGATCATTAACTGTGTCCTGCACAGTTAAGAAGTGATGAAAAACTGGTGTCATGACCTCAGCAGATAAGTGCTGTATTGAGGACAAACCTGGTGGGGTGAAAGAAGTGCTTGACCCTGGATTGGGGGCCTAGGGGCCTGAGTCTATGTGTGATGAGGAGCCAGGAGCTGAGTCTGAGGAGGAAGTTGGACAATCCACCACCACCCAGCCCTTATGAACAAAGATGGTTGAAGGCACAAGCCCAATTTGAAGCCCCAAATGTAGAGGAGGTCTCCTCATGAGGAAGTGGTTTTCCTCACAAGTGAATTTCGTTCTATGGGGCAATTTAGGGGCCAAACCCTCTGGCTGGGTTCTTCCCATGTCAACTGAATAACTATCAGCTTGCTGGGTGGGCCTCCAAGAGCACAGGTAGAAAAGAGCCTTCAGCGGTATCAACAAATTGCTGGAAGCAACGTGTCTGACAGTTTCTGCCTTTTCCTGAATCCCTAGCTCTGGATTGTTCTGGCCTTCTTTGACCATTTGGACTGCTTCTTGGACTATGACTATGGATTGCCCTGCCTGGGTGTCTGCTACAGTTCCAGCTTCCACCCTTTCCTTGGTCTGAGACTTTATTAGCCAGCAGCTTCATTTGTCTCACCCAGTGTGGAACAGGACAACCTTGTCCAAAGTTTCAACTAGTGCAGTACCATATTATTTTGTTGGATTCTAAATGGGATTTAATCAGTCATGGCCTTATTCCAAACTGCCATATGAGATCCCAAGTAGTTTTCTATTTACCCTTGAATCCTAGTTAGGCATCCTTGAGTCTGAAGAGACTATGGTAACGTGCTCTCTATGGAGCAGCGTCTAGTGTGGCTGAGAAGGCCAATTCGAGAGTGACAAGCCCTTCCACACAAATACAATCTGTCCCCTGTCCAACTCCCTGGTTTTGCTGCTTCCGGGACTGGCTCTTTGCCTCGGCCTGCTGGATAAGGGTCTCTTCAAATAGGGAGAGGCCATGCTGTACGGCCTGCCTCCAGGCTGAATGCTCAGACGTCAAGGTTTCCCATCTGTTGAGGTCCATTCCTAAGGCCTTCAGATCCTGCTTGCAGATATCCTTGTATTGCAGCTGTAGTCTCCCTACTGGGGCAATTTCCCTGCACTGATTCTCCATACAGGAGATCTTTTGGAATCCAACCATCAGCCATTCTCACAACATACCCAAGCCAACGTGGATGTCACTGTTTCAGTAATTTATACATGCTAATGATTCCAGCTTGTTCCAGGACTACTCTATTTGGAACTTTGTCCTGCCAGGTGATATCAAAAATGTGTCGGAGGCAACACATATGGCAGGTGTTCATCTTCTCCTGCTGTGCACAAAGGGTCCAGGACTCACTGCAGTACAGGAGTCTAGTGAGGATCAAATTGAGCTGATGGCAATGCTTCAATCTTGGATGTCTCCAGGAAACTGTGTTGAAGCTTCGTATTAAAGAACAGACAGTGGTTCCTTGCTTAACAACGATAATCCGTTCCAGGAAAATCGCCGTTAAGTGAAAACATTGTAAAGCGAAAATAAAAAGCCAACCTTTCAATGCATTTCAGTGGGCTTAAAACTCACCGTCCAGCGAAGATCCTCCATACAGTGGCCATTTTCGCTGCCCGTATAGTGAGGAATTCATCCCTAAACACAGCGGGGAGCCATTTTAGTTACCCGGTGGCCATTTAGAAACCGCCAGTCAGCTGTTTAAAAATCATCGTTTTGTGAATAATCGGTTCCCGAAGCAGGGAACCGATAATCGCAAAGCGAAATTCCCCCCTTTAGACCATCGTTTTGCGATAGCGATTGTGATCGCAGAAAGATCGTCATAAAGCGGATTCGTCGTAATGCGGGGCAATCGTAAAGCGAGGCACCACTGTATTGCTTACACAAAAACCATAATAAAAACAAAACTCCAGCAAGCGTTGGCCATTTTCATTCATCTTCTCAGTGCCAAACCGGCCTAGACAAGTGGGGGCCAAGAATTGTGATCAGCACCAACTGTAGCATTAAAGTCTCTGAGAATGAACAGTGGTTCTCTCTCGGGGATTTTTTAATAGTAGCTGCCAGATCATTGTAGAATTTGTCTCTGACTTCTGTTGTGGACGACAGTGTTGGTGCATATGCACTAATGAGGGTGACCGATCCTGCTGATGAGTGGAGCTGCAGAGACAGGATTCTTTCACTCCCCAGAGAAGGTGGAAAAATGGATCTCAGCAGAACCCTTGACTAGACATTGCCATTCCTTTTACTGGGATTAATGGATTCTCTGAGCTGCTTAAAAAGCAATTTTATGTGGACACATTGAAATATCATTTGCAGCATGAAGTGAGACAAGCATGTTCTAATGAGCAAACAACAACAACAACACACAACCTTGTGGAATATAATACAGAGAATATAAATAGGGTATAATAATAACTAAATGCAATAAACACATAAATATTTGTTTTAAAGATTTGGGAAAAATTTAACACAATCTCATGCCTCAGATATTGCATATGAGTTTGCTAGACAATCGTGGCACTGAAACCTTTTGACTTTGTACATGAAAAATGTGCGGGGAGGCGGGGCACAGTGTACAGAATAGAAACAGTGAAACCTGTCATTTAAATCAAGCATGTCATGGAGCAGCAATGAATAGGGATGGCCTGATGAACACTTTTGCAAGTAAAACTGAACGCTTGGATAGAGGACCAAACTGGATCGAGTTAAATAGGGTTGCTTATGTCACATAGAGGTATGACGTGCCACGATGTGATCCATGCATCCAAATGCAAGAATTGGGTGGTTTCCCCTTTTTATTCCCTCCTGTCTCTTCCTTCTTCTAGGAGGAAATTTTCAGTAAACATTTTTTTGTAAAAAATACAGTATAGTTGTAGAAGAGGTAACTGCATTAGTCTGTGCAAGTATGACAGGGAAAAAAAGAAAAAGAAAAGAACAAATTAAAAACAAACAAAACCATGGTGGCATCTTAAATACTGTTATATTTTAATATGAGCTTTGTGGATAAAACTGACTTTCTCAGACATAAGAGGAAGATGTAACGTGGCAAATATTTATACATGGCCTCAAAATACCGAGATAGTAGTTGGATGGTTAGAAAGTCAATGGATATTTAACAGTGAGGTATAGCTTGTTTGGTATACAAATCTATTCCACTGAAGCTTGTACTGTAAAGAGTGTAAAATCCTCTGGCATAGAATAACATGAATGTTAATTATATTAAGTGCATCAGCGCAGCCCTCTCTCTCTCCCTCCCTCCACAGAGCAGCAGAGGAAGTTTTCAATTTCTAAATATCATTAAGCGCTTAAAGCTGTCTGCTAAGCCACTTAACGATATTGGGAAACTAAAAGCTTAAGGCATCCAATTTGGTTCAGTCCCAACATTTGCATGTGTTGCGACCAAACCAAAATGGGGAGATCCTACCTGAACCTAAAAAGCAGTCTCATGTGACTATGAGGCAAAAAGGTGCACATAGGAATGCTTTGAGGATGGGCTGGATTGTGCTGGCACTTATGTCATTTGGTTGCTGGGAAAATGAGCAAACCAGCCTGTCCCCAGAGTGGATCAGACAACAGGACAAATTCCCACCTATTTGCACCCTGATTTACAATCTAAATCCGGCTGAAATTCGAAGGATTTAATGTAGGAATTAATATAGGAAGGAATTTTACTTTTTAGCTAATAGTAGTTGAATCCCTAACAAAATGCAACAGGCCATTCTTAAGATATAGTCAACTGTTTAAAAATTAAAATGTAGCAATAGAGTCTCTTCTAGTTCATTATATTTGTACTGCATAATTATATTGATGAGCAAATGCTTGGGGCACACTCCCAAATGTATACAGCACATACTGTAATGATAAGCATTTGCTAGTAATTAATAATATTCACCCAAAGCTGTTTCTTGTCTAGTAAGTTTGTGCAACCCAAGGATGTGGACATGATCCATATGTGTGCTTGACCATTCCTATTCCTACCTTATAGCAGCAGTTACAGATACAGTAGTAGGTTGGTTAAGTGGGTAAGAGCAGTGGTGAATACCTCTTTAAAAGATAGCACTCTGTTCCATTGAGGATCCGAGAGGTGATGGGTAATACTCTTGTATTAGAAAAAGAGAATTGTGAACTCCAACCTTAACTGTATTGGATAATTTCTGACTAGTCTACAATACTGTATTCAGTTCTTGAGCAGAGTTCTTTAGGTAGCCGTAGCATTACAACCTGAAATGTTCACTGATGATGCAGATTAT